CCAAGCACCTGGGTCCCTGCACCCGCCGGGGAGACCCCTGGAGCTTCTGGCTCCTGGCTGTGGCCCTGGCAGGGTCATTGCCACCCCCTTGGGGAGTGAGCAACGCCTGGAAGATCTCTCCTCTCTCCTTGTCACTCTGCCTTTCACATAAATCTACAAAATGCCGAGAGTTATTTCTAAAAAAGCCTAAATAGATCGCTTGTATATTCAATTTATTTTTTTTAAAGATTTATTTTTATTATTTTTTATTGGAAAGGCGGATATACAGAGAGGAGAGACAGAGAGGAAGATCTTCCGTCCGATGATTCACTCCCCAAGTGAGCCGTAACGGTCGATACTATGCCGATCCGAAGCCAGGAGCCTCTTCCGGGTCTCCCACGCGGGTGCAGGGTCCCAAAGCTTTGGGCCGTCCTCGACTGCTTTCCCAGGCCACAGGCAGGGAGCTGGAAGGGAAGCGGGGCTGCCGGGATTAGAACCGGCGCCCATATGGGATCCCGGGCGTGCAAGGTGAGGACCTTTAACCACTTGCGCCACCGCGCCGGGCCCCAATTCTTTTCTAAAGTAAAATGTCTAAATTGAATATACAGGGCCCGGCGCGGTGGCGCAAGTGGTTAAAGGTCCTCACCTTGCACGCCCAGGATCCCATATGGGCGCCGGTTCTAATCCCGGCAGCCCCGCTTCCCTTCCAGCTCCCTGCCTGTGGCCTGGGAAAGCAGTCGAGGACGGCCCAAAGCTTTGGGACCCTGCACCCGCGTGGGAGACCCGGAAGAGGCTCCTGGCTTCGGATCGGCATAGTATCGACCGTTACGGCTCACTTGGGGAATGAATCATCGGACGGAAGATCTTCCTCTCTGTCTCTCCTCTCTGTATATCCGCCTTTCCAATAAAAAATAATAAAAATAAATCTTTAAAAAAAAAAAAAAGAATTGGTCTACATTGTCAGCTTTCTGCTTTTAATTAAGCGTGGCCTCCTGTTGACAGGCAACCCTGAAACAGCAGGTGAGGGTACGCCTCCTGGCTCGGGGAATGAAGCACTGAATGAAGCTCTCTCTTGGCCTCTGTTTCCCCTTTTGTTTCTCTCCCCTCAAATGCCATCTCTTATCAAATAAAGAAATATAACTTTTTGGGCCCGGCACAGCAGCCTAGCGGCTAAAGTCCTTGCCTTAAATGCGCTGGGGTCCCATATGGATGCTGGTTTGTGCCCCAGTGGCCCCACTTCCCATCCAGTTCCCTGTTTGTGCTCTGGGAAAGCAGTCAAGGACAGCCCAAAGCTTTGGGACCCTGCACCCGCGTGGGAGACCCGGAAGAGGCTCCTGGCTTCGGATCGGCATAGTATCGACCGTTACGGCTCACTTGGGGAGTGAATCATCGGACGGAAGATCTTCCTCTCTGTCTCTCCTCTCTGTATATCCGCCTTTCCAATAAAAAATAATAAAAATAAATCTTTAAAAAAAAAAAAAGAAAAGAATTGGTCTACATTGTCAGCTTTCTGCTTTTAATTAAGCGTGGCCTCCTGTTGACAGGCAACCCTGAAACAGCAGGTGAGGGTACGCCTCCTGGCTCGGGGAATGAAGCACTGAATGAAGCTCTCTCTTGGCCTCTGTCTCCCCTTTTGTTTCTCTCCCCTCAAATGCCATCTCTTATCAAATAAAGAAATATAACTTTTTGGGCCCGGCACAGCAGCCTAGCGGCTAAAGTCCTTGCCTTAAATGCGCTGGGGTCCCATATGGATGCTGGTTTGTGCCCCAGTGGCCCCACTTCCCATCCAGTTCCCTGTTTGTGCTCTGGGAAAGCAGTCAAGGACAGCCCAAAGCCTTGGGACCCTGCACCCACGTGGGAGACCAGGAAGAGGCTCCTGGCTCCTGGCTTTGGATCGGCACAGCTCTGGCCGTTGTGCCTACTTGGGGAGTAAATCAGTGAATGGAAGATTTCTCCCATCTCTTCTCTCTGTATACCTGACTTTCCAATAAAAAAATTAATAAATTTTTTAAAATAAATATAATTTTTAAATGTCATAGTAATTTTTAAAAGGAAAACACATGCAATTACAGGGCATAGCCAGAAGAGGGAGACATCCTTACAGGTTTAGCAGATGCCCAAAAAGATTTTTCAGTTCCACCATTCTAGTTATTAATAATCTAGAAATTTCCGCTACAATGATTTACTAACTTGCTATTTTGCCACAGACTCTCAGACCTGAAGTGCATCTGGGGAACTCCTGGAACTTCTTCCAGATCCCCATGTGGATAACAGGGGCTGGGCTAGGCTGAAGCCAGGAGCCCGGAGCTTCTTCCAGGTCCCCGTGTGGATAGCAGGGGCCCAAGGCCTGGTTGTTTTTCGTTGCTCTTCCCAGGCCATTAGCAGGACGAGATCAGATTGGAGCAGCCAAGCCACAGAGCGGTATCCATGTGGAATGCTGGCTCCACGGGCTCCTTACCGCCGACAGGGAATCAAATGCTGCATGCATTTCACCGAGTCACCAGTACATGGCGGGAAACCTGCAGAAATGTCCCTGGCTTTAACTGGCCCAGCCCAGCCACCGCAGCCACCAGCAGATGGAAAAGCTGCCTCTCTCAGGGCGCTTCGGGATGAGCTCATGAAGCTGTCACCATCCGACCCCGCTCCCGTCCTGACGACCTTCCTGCAGGGCCAGCTCTGTCCTCCAAACTGGCCCGTCCCGGCCTCTCTCCTGCCCCTCCAGCCCAACTCTGCTGAACCAGGACAGTGCGAAAAGGGGGTCCCGCGGCATCGGAGGGGTTTCTGTGAACAGGACATAAGCCGGGTCTTTCGTGTGTGCGTTTTACATCTTGAGGGACACGCGATGCTTCAGCTCAGGCCGGCTGCCCTCCCCCCTTCTTACTGATGTCTTTCTTCTTGTAGACTTACCTCCCAACACAGAGAACCCGCGCGTGCCAGTCCTCTCCTCCCTCCCCTAGCGCGAGCAAAGGCCATGGTGACCTACCTCCGCTCACACAGGAGAGGGCGCTGCAGAGACGGTGAGCAAGTGAAGTCAGGGACACACCCCGGCACTCGCACACACTCACACACGTAACCACATCCCTGCACACTCGCATACACACACATATGTATATACACTCACACCCCGGCACTCACACACACTCACACACGTAACCACATCCCTGCACACTCGCATACACACACATATGTATGTACACTCACACCCCGGCACTCACACACACACGCACTCACATCCCTGCACACTCGCATACACACACACATATGTATGTACACTCACACCCCGGCACTCACACACACTCACACACACACTCACACACGTAACCACATCCCTGCACACTCGCATACACACACACATATGTATGTACACTCACACACACTCACACACACACTCACACACGTAACCACATCCCTGCACACTCGCATACACACACATATGTATGTACACTCACACCCCGGCACTCACACACACTCACACACGTAACCACATCCCTGCACACTCGCATACTCGCACATATGTACATACACTCACACCCCGGCACTCACACACACTCACACACACACTCACACACGTAACCACATCCCTGCACACTCGCATACACACACATATGTATATACACTCACACCCCGGCACTCGCACACACTCACACACGTAACCACATCCCTGCACACTCGCATACACACACACATATGTATGTACACTCACACCCCAGCACTCACACACTCACACACGTAACCACATCCCTGCACACTCGCATACACACACATATGTATGTACACTCACACCCCGGCACTCACACACACTCACACACGTAACCACATCCCTGCACACTCGCATACTCGCACATATGTACATACACTCACACCCCGGCACTCACACACACACACACACACTCACATCCCTGCACACTCGCACACACACACACATATGTATGTACACTCACACCCCAACACTTGCACACACACACACACTCACATCCCTGCACACTCGCATACACACACATATGTACATACACTCACACCCCGGCACTCGCACACACTCACACACGTAACCACATCCCTGCACACTCGCACACACACACATATGTATGTACACTCACACCCCGGCACTCGCACACACACACACACACACACACACTCACACCCCGGCACTCACACACACTCACATCCTTGCACACTGATGTATACACACTCACACCCATAGACAGTATCCTTCACATGTATATACACTCACACACACACACACATCCACATACACATAGGTGCTTGTGCGCACACACGTATTCTGGCTTGAAAACTCATTTCCCTAACTGGAATCCAGCAATAAGTACAAAATTTCGGCAAAGGAGACTTCTTCAGTGAGTTGTTATAAAGAAAGCATTGAAATCTCATTTTTCAGTGTTAGTATTTCTAAACTAGGGATTTGAGTACTATGAGCTGGAGGGATCTGCCACCTGCCAAAAGTATGTCGGCCAAACAAAACGGGCTGGCATGGTGGCACAATGGGTGAGCCATCTCCTGCAGCACAGGCACACCACTCAGGTACCAGCTCGAGTCCCGGCCACCCACATGGGAGACCTGAACCAAGTTCTAGGCTCCTGGTTTCAACTTGACCCAGCCCCAGTTCTGGCGAACACTTGAGGGCGTGAAACAATGGATAAAGAACCTCTCTCTCTTTGCCTCGGCCTTTCAAATAAATTAAAATTGTTTAAATGACAAAATCACAGGCTGGCACACCCCTACCCCAGCTCAGCAAACCTGGCCTTGGTTCCTGGCCCCAGCTGTCTGCCAGTGCAGACCCTGGCGAGTCTTGGTGGCGGCTCAGGTCACTGGGAACTGCAGGTGCTGGTTCCACGTGTAGACTGAAAGCCACCGGGCCAGGAAGTCTAAAAGCCCACGTAACCTGTAACGTGTCGTCACATTGACTCATGACCGTACGAAGGCCATCACAGCCCTTCTCTTACGAAGTCCTAACACCCAACGTTTGCTAGGCGTAGGAAGCCATCGTTGGCCTCACCACTTACCTTTGGTTGGAAATTTCTTGGCTCGTTCCTCAAAGAACCACTCTCCGGTTTTTATTTTCACATTTCTGGAAAAGCAAGCGGAAAGCGGGCTTCAGTGTGGGCAGACAGGGAACACCTCGAGGCCATTGCAAAGAGTTCCTGACAAGTTGAATTAAAAACAAATCAAAGATGGACTCCCGATGAAACCAGTGAATGTATCTTGATAATAGGATGCTGGAATGTCTGGCATTGTCAGCAACGTCAGGATACACTTAAATAACAGAATGATGGACTATGACTGCTTATGAAGAACTCTACTCCTGTAATAACATGGGGAAAAGCAGACAGGGGGAGGGAACCTGGAGAGGGGATAGGGAACCCCCAGACCTTATGGAATTGCTCCATAAAATTTAAAATTAAAAAAAAAGATTTTTCAAGACCAATAATAATAATAATAATAAAACACATTTGCATGAACTTGCTGAGCCCCTCACATCCCCTCTTATGTTTGGCTCCAAAGAGCTGGGAAGGCAAGATGACTTGAGGCTGGCATCATGATACTGTGGGTTAAACTACTGCCTGTAACATCCACATCCCACAGGGGCACCAGTTCAAGTTCTGGTTGCTTCACTTCCAATCCAGCTCCCTGATAATGTGCCTGGGAAAGTAACAGAAGGTGGCCTCGGGGCCTTACAGTCACAGGGGAGAGCCAGATGGGGTTCCAGGCTTCTGGCTTCAACCTGGCCCAGACCTGGCCATGGCATCCACTTAGGGAGCAAACCAGCAGATGGACAATCTTTCTCTCCTTCTAACTCAGCCTCTCAAAGTCTTTACACATTTGCCAGCTCCCTTTTCTCTCCACGGCCACTTCCCTTGCTGAAATAAAGACCACCTGTGTGACTTACTGCATCTGGCGTGTTTGGGTTTGGGGTGATAAAAGCTAACCGTGCCTTTGACTTAGGGGAGCTCACCCTTGGGCAAAGGTTGGCATGTGTCCACATTTGCCCAGAGCCAAGAAGGTTCCAGAAAGGACCTGAAGTTGGGAGGGGGGCTTGGTGTGCTTTGCTGGAGGTTCAGCAGAAACAATCTTCTCTGCCAGTGGTTCCTGAGGGCAGGACCACACTCCTGAATGGTTAGGACAGGAAATGCTGCACCTGCCTGCCGACCCCCTGCTGACCACTGCCGACCACTGCCGACCCCCTGCCGACCCCCTGCCGACCACTGCCGACCACTGCCGACCCCCGCCGACCCCCTGCCGACCCCCTGCCGACCACTGCCGACCCCCTGCCGACCACTGCCGACCCCCTGCCGACCACTGCCGACCCCCTGCCGAGCACTGCCGACCCCCGCCGGCCACTGCCGACCCCCTGCCGAGCACTGCCGACCCCCTGCCGACCCCCTGCCGACCACTGCCGACCCCCTGCCGACCACGTGAAAGCAAAGTCCTAACGTGGATTTTACCCTGGAGGGGTCCCAACTCAGAAACCACACTCCACCGAAGAGGAGCTGCTTCCTTTGAGGAAGGCAAGAGGTAGACATGCGCATAGCGCACCACAACACTGCCCGTTCACCAGCTGGGGAAGAGAAAAACACGGCAGAGGAAGTGGAAGCAGCTATCTGCTGGAATAATCTCCTTACATTGAAGCCACGCATGAACTCTGATGGACATCGCTTAATGCTACAAACGCTATTAACGTAAGCAACGCCAAATACATTCAAGGCCACAATAAAAAAAAGTCTTTCTCTGCAGTGTGCTCATAATGGTCAGAAACTGCTGTCCCCTTCTGGCTAGAAGCCGTAATTCTCTCCTGAGCACACCAGTGGCTAGAATAGGAAAACAGACACACAGCATTAGTTTCCTAACAGATTTTTGATCATCAGTAACTTTTCCTTTGGAGCTACGGAAAACAAAAAGAGGTCCAGGATTTAGACAGAGGCAAAAAGTGTGCCAGTAACTTGGAAACCAAACCCCTGCCAGCCTCCGTCGCATCGCAGCAGAAGGAATCCCCACTGGCACTGGACGGCAGGTGGAGGATCAACAGCCAGGGCGACTGACTGAGGTGATGGAGGTACTAAGCCCAGCCTGGTGGGAGTCCAGCATGTGCCAGCTCTCGGGGTCTGGGTTCTCATCCACGTGTGCACGCAGGGCAGGGAGGGTACACTAGGCGGCAGGGAAGGCCCAATGTGAGCAGAGCGGCAAGTGCCACCGAGGGCCCAGCCGACAGAGACCTTCCCATCCCAGGTTTCTCGTTCCTGCAGGTCTTCTCACTCCGGAGACCCCCACCCTAGCAGGGCACAAGCGTCCTGCACAGAGACCCTCCCATATGTAGTCAACAGGACTGGGACCCAGATGGACCTGGATAAGGAAATGTGCCCAGAGATACAAGATCGTAACCAATGACAGCCAGGCAAGGGGAAGAATCAGAGGAAGATGCAGACACCTGCCACCTGGAGGAAACTCCAAACCAGCATTGCAACTTATGGGATTACGCTGCTGCCTGAAGTTCCGGCATCCCATACGAGCAACTTGTTCATGTTCCGGCTGCTCCACTTTGGGTCCAGCTCTGTGCTCACACACCTGGGAAGGCAGTGGATGACGGTCCAAGGACCTGGGCCCCTGCCACCCATGTAGGAGACCAAGATGCAGCTCCAGGCTTTTCTGGTTTCAGCCTGCTCAGACCAAGCTATTATAACCATTTGGGGAGTGAATCAGTGGGAGGGAGGAAAGGAGGGATGAGGGAGGGAGGAAGGGAGGGAGGGAGGGAGGAAGGGAGGGAGGGAGGGAGGAAGGGAGGGAGGGAGGGAGGGAGGGAGAGAAGCAAGCTTGCAGCCATGGTCTCAGATCTCACAAGCTGCCTATCACCTAGTGCCAGGCACCTCGCATCTCATCTGACCTGGATGCTTGCCTGTGAAGTTTAAGTCGGAGTTGGCACAAGCCCGCAGGACTCTGGAGCTCCTATGTGATCAAAGAAACAAAGAATAAAAATACCAGCATCCTATGCTATGGGACAAGCAGCCCTTTCTGCAGCTGGGAACGCCGGGCCTAAGCTGCCCCTGTGTGCCAGTCTTCCTGCAGGACCAGCATGGCCTGCTCCATTCTCTAATACACTTCAGGAGGCTTCTCTGCCAAACAGGTGGACACTCCTGCCCTGCCCGTCCATGACGGCAGGTGAGCAGGTCCAGGGGGCCGACACAGCATGGTGTAAGTCACGCTAACCAACGTAGCCGCGTGGCACTTCTCTCCAAAGGAGTCCATTACAGCGGGGTTCTGGGGGTGCTTGGGCCATTGGGTTACCCCAGCAACAAGCAGTTGTTTTCCTGACCTGGTTCTTCAATCCAGTCTGTAAATACTTCTTGAAAGGCCAAAATGTAGAGATGGACAGAGCAAGTGCAGAGTCAGGAGGCCTGACCCACACACCTGCCCCAGGCAGGCCGTAGCATCAAAGTCCCCGGAGTTGTAACACCAAGCACCTGGTGCCCAATTCGCTCCTAATATCCTTGTGAGGGTTTTGACATTCATTTCCACAGCCCTGCACCCCCCGACTGCTGTCATCCCCTCAGCCAAAGAGAAGGAACCGTTGGAAATCATCTTGAACATTCCAGTGCACAAAAGTCCAGTGATGAGTTCACAGAGGACCTGAGCCAAAGACAGCTTGGCCCTGTTCCTGCCCCCCTTCAGTGACCCCCACAGCCGTGTTGGAGTGTAAGTACCTGGACGCAGGTGGTTAATTCTTGCACCGGGCAAAGTCAGAGATGTCCCGGGTCTATTCACCCCTCTGCTGACACAGGCAGGGAATCGGTCTGCCGAGCTGGGGTCCTGCCAAGGCCCAGCAAAGTCCTGCTCTCCACCCAGCCCCGACCACAAGGAAGCATCCAGAGGGCCCGCGCGAGGGCCGGGCGGCTCATCAGGCCCACCAGCAGCAGACTGCCAATGAAGCAGCTGAGCGTTGCAGAAAGGCAATCAACGAGGGCTAGTCCAGCTGCTTGGGCATTCCCAGCTGAAATCGCCAGGGCCTGCCTGCAGTTGAAAACACTGTCACTTTAAATAGTGTTGCTTCTGAGATGGCTTGCAGTTACAAAAGAGTAGGGGTTTTTCCCAAGAGCTTGGCTGATCAGATTGCGGTGATCTTACAGGAAAGAGGAGCGATGGTCCTGATTAAATCCTAGGTAACCAGAAGAGCAGGCAGGGACACCAGAGGAAGACAGATCAAGATTTTATCAAGTGGCTACCAATACTTCTTGCAAAAGTCTCCCTGGGCCTCGAGGGAGACCGGGAGTTCATGCATGTTGCCCCTCCCCCAGCAGGGACACCCTGAGACCCCTGGATCGAATCCCAAAGAGGGAGGACCTGACGCTGGGTCCTGAAACGTAGCACAGGTAACCATGGGCTACTACCCGGGAGGAACACTCAAGGCAACGAAATACCAAACCCAGAAGCAAGGGCTGGCTGCTGGTCTGAAAGTGAGAGAGATGAAGGCCGGCACAGCAGACAGGTGCTGCACACACCCTTGCCTCCCCACGGAGCTAAGGGACCACCTGAGCCGCAGGTGCAGGGGGCTCTGAGAACAAAGGTGAGATGGCCACCTGCTGTTGGGTGCCCCGCCCGCCTGTCTCGGGAACTTCCACAGCCAATTCCTGCGTGTGGATCTCCTCCTCTGGCTCCTTGTGCACGTTTTCTTCACAAATGGCCACTGTCTCCCAACTCACGCAGCCCGGAGCCATCTCAATGCTCCCCAGCCCCTTGCGTTGTCAGACCTCACTGGGACCCGCGTTCCCGTCTGCGCTCTGTGAACATTCCCAGGGATGGCGCTGTGGTGCAGCAAGCGAAGTTACCACCCACAATGCAGGCGGCCCCTAGCAGGTGCAGGTCCCAGTCCTGCGTGCTCCACTTCCCACTGCCCGGGAGAGCAGCAGCAGACGGCCCAAGTCCTGCACCCTGCCTTCTTCACGGGAGACCTGGCAGAAGCTCCTGGGCCCTGACTCGGCATTTCCCAGCCCCTGCTCTTGTTGTTAGTGGAGTGAGCCAGAAGATGAAAGAGCTCGCTCGCTCTCTCCCTTTCTCTGTAACTCTGCTTTTCAATAAGTTTTTTAAAAAGAGAGAGAGAGAGAACCTCCATATTTCACAATAAGGCAGCTGCGGCTTCAGTAGCCACACTTCATGTACGGAGTGGTCAAGTTACACGGGCAGGGAGGAGGGGCGGGGGACAAGGTTTACCAGCGCATTGCCTCAGCTCAGCTCTTGCTTTTGATTAATTTACAGTTAACTATCAGCTGAAGGAGAAAACCTTCCCAGGCCACGATTCTCACAGAACTTCAGATACCAGGGGACTTTAAAAAGCTCATGCAAGGGTCCGGCGTGGTGGCCTGGTGGCTAGGGTCCTCGCCTTGAACGCACTGCACCGGCTGTTGCGGCCACTTGGGGAGTGAATCATTGGACGGAAGATCTTTCTCTCTGTATATCTGACTTTGCAATAAAAATAAATACATCTTTTTTTTAAAAAGTTCATGAAAAATGCAATGAAAAGGTAAGTATTTTGGTGCAAGCATCTTGAAATCCACAAATTGTTTTTTTCATGACAGCATTTTCCACAAACATTTTGAAGATCCCCCACACATACAGGGATTTAAAAAACTTTTGCACCAAAAGACATATATCTTTTAATTATATTTTCCAATGACTTGAAGTCTGCTCATCTATACATGATGCACTGAATGGGAAAAACCTTGAGGCCGTGCCAGAGACGTTCCGGCCCTGGGGCCCAGGCCTGCACACACGTGGGCAGCCGGGGCAGCTCCAGCTTGGCAAGTTTGTGAGTCCAGCAAGTCCTAACTTGGGAAGTGCAGGAGTGCCTCCGCAGGGCGGTCCATGGGGCTCGGCACATGGTCAATGGCAATGGGGAGCTATGAGGCCAGATCAGGGTGAACTCCTTCTGTGTGTGGCCAAATGACTGACATCCCCAAAGCCTTGCAACATGCCAAGGTGTTAAAGCAGAGTAAGCCCAGGTGTCTGGGACAGATGTCCCTGACTGAGCGGGACCCACCAGCCCACACGGCGTCGCTAGCACCTCTCCTGACCCTGACCTTGGTCACGTCCACCCATACAACAATGTCCAGAGGCTGGTTTCAAGTCTCATAGTCTCTCTCTCTCTCTCTCTCTCTCTCTCTCTCTCTCTCTCGGGCTCACCTGAGCCCAATGAGCCTGCTGTCTCGAAGGTTCTCTGGCATCCTGGGGCCTGCCCTCCACCAGCTCCATGTTCCCAGGGAATCCCTGCCAGCCCATTCTTGCTCTGAGCAGAGGCTGAGGGCATGATGCTGCATCTCACCCCAACACCAGTCCCAGGTTAGTGTGTGTGCAAAGCAGTGTAGCTCAGCCTTTAGGGACCGCACCCATGCTTCGGCTGAGCATCCAGCGGAGGGCAGAGCAGCACCTGCTGCACAGAGGCCTTGTTCACAGTCGCACAGGGCTGCTCCCCAGGCTAAAGCCGCTGAGAGAACTGGGGCACCGCACGAGAGCTGCAGACGAACCCTCAGCCCCAAGTTAGCGCATCCTCAGCTGCTGCAAGCTTGTGTACATTATTTAAAAAAAAACAAAACAATAGCCTGTCTGTATAATACAGTCTAGAATAACTCCAAGGTCGGGAAAAGTTGTTCCATTCTAGGCACATTTGCAGAGGGTAATGACGGCAGAGCTGGGGTCAGCAGGAGGGGCTGACGCCCTGGCCAGGCTCACCTGTCCTCGAAGCACACGGTACACCTCCAGACGGGAGTCCTCTGCAGGAACACGCGGCATGCGGCACACACGCGGTGGCTGCAACCCTGGCACACAGCCCCCCGGCTCAGCAGGAGCCCCAGCGGCCGCTGGCAGCGTGCACAGGACTTCTCTGTGTACGTCCGGCTCGGGCTCTTGGCTCCTCTCCATCGGAGATGCTGCAAGTGCGCTCGCAGCTTCCTGTGGCCCATGGCAGTAAAAGAGAGAGGATTGGGCAGGGGGAAACACTGATGCCAGGCTGTAGGGGCAGGGCACAGGCTGGCACTCCACAACATAGCAGTGGGTGAGCCAGGTAGACAGCCCTCCTGTCAGGGCTGTCCCGGGGTCTGCTCAGCCATGAAATCACCCTCCCTCCCAGGCCACCATCAGCATAGCAAGCAGAGAGATTAAGAGAGAAAGGGACAAAGGGCCGGCCATTCTAGTACAGTGGGCACATGAGCTTAAACGTGCTGCCTCCATCCCTGCTCTGGGTGAAAGTTACCCAGTACAGTGAACTGATACGGGGCGGGACTGCAGCACAGCAGCATCTAGCCATTGTCACATAGCCAACAGCCATATTGGAGCTCTGATTCCTGTGCCAGCCACTCCACCTCTGAGCCAGCTCCCCACTGCTGCTCTGAGAAAGCAGCCAAGGTCAGCCCAAGGGCCTGGGCCCTGCCACCCATGGGAGGGACCCAGGTGGAACTCCTGGCTTTTGGCTTCAGCTCAGCTGAGCCCCAGCCACTATGGCCACTTGGGGAGTGAGCCAGTGGATGGAAGAGCTCTCTCCATCTCTCTCTCTCTCACTCAGGATTCACCCTGATCAGAAGAATGATGTCTTCAAGTCACTGAGGGATCTTGACTCCTCAGAGAAAATCACGTTTCCCCAGCATTTTACAGTGTCTAATGGAGACCCACTTACAGGGATGTCTAGAACACCTTGACACAAGAGCCAGCACTGTGGCATAGTAAGTTAAGACTCTACCTGTGGTGCCAGCATGTAATGCGGGTGCTGGCTCAAGTCCTGGTTGCTCCATTTTCCAACCATCTCCCTGCTCATGCACCTGGGAAAGCATCCAAGGATGGCTCAAGTGCTTGGGTCCCAATACCCACATGGGAGACCCAGAAGTTCCTGGCTCCTGGCTGCGGATCAGCCCAGCTCTGGTCTGGCTGTTGCAGGCATTTGGGGAGTGAACCAATGGTGCTGGTAGAAGATCTCTCTGTCTCTCCTTCTCATTATAACTCTGCCTTTCAAAGAAATACATTTTTTAAATGACAGAGAGAAGTTCTGGATTGACGAGGTGGGCTGGGCAGGAACACCGAGTCTTCTGTTCAGCCTGAAGGTTTCCCCTGTTCTACAAGCTTTTGATAAGGTCAAGTTTTATTTTATGGCTATGTTTTCTTGGGAGACTCTGAAAGAACTCTGCCATTAGAAACAGAATCAAACCTATTCTGTTTGTGAACTTTCTGAATCTCACTCCCTCCATGGCCTTGATAAACAGGCACCAAGGCATTCCAAGGTGGCCCTGGCCATGGCCATGGTGCTGACACTGCCCCCAGCAGCTGCAGGTGCAGCCAAGAGCAGCACAGAGTACCTGCTGATACTCGGGCACTGCCCAGGCTGCCATGCTTGCACCTTCATGTCCCCAGAGAAATAAAGGAGGGGAAGCTTGCACTCAGCTCTTCCCTCGAGGGTTGGCTGGAATCCCGCAGGATGTCCTAGAGTTAATCCCACCCAGAAGGCAGACAGATGAGCAGCCAGCTTTAGGGCAAAAAGCAGAAGTCTAAATGGTACCCAGAACAGCCTCCCAGGTCCTGGCTAAGCTTTCAAGTTCAGATCAACAGCAAGACCAGGCTTCATGCCTGGCCATGCCTTCTGCCCTTCTCAGAGCAGAGGCCCCAGGGCAGTCAGAAGCTGCAAGATCGCAACCAGCAGTGAGCACATGCCAGCAGCCCCCAATAGGAAATGCCCAAGACGGAAAGAAGTGCCCGACCAGGGCACCCAGCGTACCGGATCCTTTCCTCCTCAATGTGCCGAACGGCCTGGTCTCGGTACAGCACCTGCAGGACGACGTTCCGTTCCAGGTCCTGCAGGGAGCTCAGATCCACTTCCTGGGCCATTCCCTCTGCGTTGGTCATGGGACCGCAGTGGCAGCGGCGGCGGCAGTGGTGACCAAGTTCATGCCATTGGCCGCGAGCTCTCCATGTCTTAGGTGCGCCGGGCCTGTGCGTGTCTCCCGCCGTCTGACTGTGTCATGCCCCTTGGGCCCTGTACCGAGTCACCACCGGAGATGACTGGGGCCCTGTGCCACCTGCACTGCCGCCTCTGACATCCGCCCGAGACAGAGGCGTATCTCTGGCCTGAGGTTTGTCTTTTCTTTTGTTTTTGTTTTTTTTTTTTTCTGACCAGAGATAGTGTTAAATTATGCACGCCCCAAGCAGCAAATTTCTGCAATAGCAGAAGTGATGTCCGCACAGAGGAAACTTGGTGAGGGTAAGCGGGCAGGTGGCGAGGAGGGAAAGCCACCTTTGCCCGGCTCCTCAGCTCCTGGAGAGAGAACAACAGCAGAAAGAATCAGAGGAGACGGAATGCCCCCTGCGGATGCTTAGTGCAGTGTTTTCTGTCGTGCCAAACTGTGAGATCGTGACATTTCACAGAACAGCCTCTGCCCTCCACGCTGTCGCTTCCGTGGTCCCTCTCGGCCTCACTGAGAATGCGCGAGGAAGTGCTTCCCACGGCTAGCCACTATTTTTGCGAGTGACTTCAAAATTCACATTTAAAGCCTCCCTGCTTCTCTCTCTCCGTAAATTGGACTTTCAACATGAATAAATAATTCCTTGAAAAAAAACACTCCAACAATTATAATCAATTAGGGAAGCGTGAAGTGGCTTCACTGCAACTTCTTCAATCAATTATTTCTGGCTTTCAGTGGCTCTCCCCACGACCGGCCGCACCAAGCCTGGTATCTGAGCCATACAGCTGGAAGGTTCTGCCCACATCCTGTCACCCAGAAAACACAATGCCGTCTTTGTTCCCCTCGGAATAAGACATCCTTCCAGCAGAAGCTAACCTCCGCTGGCCGCGCTTCACACAACGCGTGCTGCAGGCACTCCACCCAGCGAACGTTCGTGAACGAGAGCCTGATGGGGCTTGCAGGCGGAACTCTGCGCCAAGGTTCTCGACCCTTGTGCGTGTGTTAGGCATTTGCCGCATAAAATAAAACACGTTAGGTAGTAAAGGAAATTGGTAACGTGGAAATATTTTTGAAGTCTCTTTACTGGAGATCAGAACAGCAGTGAAAGAGGGCAAAAATGAGAGAGAGACAGAAAGGCTGGCTTCCTCCACCCCCTCCCTGCCCCATGCCTGCAATGCCAAGTGCACCAGGCTGAAGCTAGGAGCCAAGAACTCCTTCCAGGTCTGCTCTGTGGGTGGCAGGGACCCAAGTCCTTGACCCGTCAACTGCTGCCTGCCAGGGTGCCCATTAGCAGGAAGCAGAGGCGGGACTTGAATCAGGCACACAATAGCTTAACCCATTGCATCACAGTGCCTGTCCCTACACTAAGACATAATGGGTTAAGCCACTGCTTGAGTGCAGCATCCCACATCAGAATGTCAATTTCAGCGCTGGCTGCTTCACTTTCAGCCCAGCTCCCTGTTACAGCACCTGAGAGAGCACGTGGGCCCCGTCGCCTGCACGGGAATCCAGAGATGGGGTTCTGGCTCCTGGCTTCAGCCTGGCCCACGCCAGCCACTGTGGTCATTTGGGGAGTGAGCCAGCAAATGGAAGATCTCTCTCATCACTGCCTCTCAAATTGTTTACATTTACAATATAGTAATATATAATTTCATTAAGAAAAAAAAATATCAGGCCCAGTGCAATAGCATAGTGGTTAAAGTCCTTGCCTTAAACGTGCCCCGGGATCCCATATGGGTGATGGTTCTAATAACCGCAGCCCCACTTCCCATCCAGCTCCCTGCTTGTGGCCTGGGAAAGCAGTTGAGGACGGCCCAAAGCCTTGGGACCCTGCACCCGCATGGGAAACCAGGAAGAAGTTCCTGGCTCCTGGCTTCGGATTGGTGCAGCACCAACTGTTGCAGTCACTTGGGGAGTGACCATCAGACGGACGATCTTCTTCTCTGTCTCTCCTCCTCTCTGTATATCTGCCTTTCCAATAAAATAAATAAATCTTAAAAAAAAAAGAATAAATATCTAGCAGTAATCTCATCAACATCATAATTTCAAAGCTGTAATGAATTGGAATATCCACAGTGCAGTTATAGATACAGTGCAGTGATGTAATTATGTGGTTACGGGGACATCTGTGGTCTCAGCTGGGGACAAGGCCACGTGCACCGAGGACTCTACCGTGGCTCGCTGCCTCTTCAAGGGCTCTTCAAAAGTTCCTGGAAGTTGGATTTGCCACAGATGTCCCTCAAGGGCTCCCATTTTAGCCTGCACTAAGTTTAGCTTTCTTTAAAAAAGAAAGATTTATTTTTATTTGAAAGACAGATTTATGAAGAGAAGGAGAGAGAGAGAGAGAGATCCTCCATCCGCTGGCTCATGCCACGGCCAGAGGGAGCCAAGCTGATCCAAAGCCAGGAGCCAGGGTCTTCATCGAGCTCTCCTGGTTGGGTCCAGGGGCTCAGGGGTCTGGGCTATCCTCTGATGCTTTCCTAGCCGCAGGCAGAAAGCTGGGACTTGAACCAGTGCCCATTTGGGATGCCAGCTCCTGCAGGCAGATTAGTCTTGAGTCACAGCACTGGCTCCTGAGCTTAGCTTCTAATCCCACTTGTTTGTACATTTTTATGACCCTCATAGTCATGATTTAAGGAAATACTAAGTTTTAGTTTAAGGAAAATGAAAACAAATATGTCATCCTTCCCCCATTCAGGTTCATGGGATGGCAGGCTAAGCGCTGCTGGCTCGGTGCCACTTACCCCAGGAGTAGAGGTGCCCAGGCACAGGGCAGCCAGAGCCCGAGCGAGCGATGCATGCGGTCTCCAGGCTCTAAGGAACGCCGAGCACCCGCGCTCTCCAAGGCGTGTGACTGAGCAGCAGGAGAAGACAGGCGACAAAGACTCGGGGCTGTCACTCCGCCAGCCGCTGGATCATGCGTGCCTCCTTCACCTTCCGTTTCCAGAGGAGCAGGCAGAACTAGCAGACCTCAGCTCCCTGAGGCCCCAGGTACCTGGAAAAGAGAAGAAAGCCGCCAGTGAGGACAAGTGACAGGTGTGGACGGGGAGGGGGTGCTGTGACACAGCAAGCAAAGCCACCACCTACGATGCCAACATCCCACGAGGACGCAGGTTCCAATCCTGGATGCTCCACTCAAATCCAGCTCCTGTCCAGCTCCCTGCTAGTGGCCCAGGAAAGCAGCAGAGGATGGCCCGACTACCTGGGCCCCTGCACCCACGTGGGAGACTCAGAAGCAGCTTCTGGCTCCTGGCTTCCTCTTGGGCCAATGCTGGCTGTCACGGCCATCTGGTCAGTGAACAGTGGATGGAAAATCTTTCTCTTTGTTTTTTCCTTTTAACTCTGACTTTCAAATAAACTAATACATCTTAAACAAGCCAGTGCCTGATGGAGCGCCACGGGCTGGGTGCCAAGGGGCCCGTGTCTGTCCCACCGTCTCTTGGTCTCCAGTTCCTGAAAGCTGCCTCCTGCTGCTGTCTGGTTTCCACTCCCACTGGGTCAGTCCACTATCTGGTCGATCTGGTTCTCAGGTATTTCAAACAAAGGATTTGCTTTTGGTCAATACACCTGCCCAGGAAGTTACGTGGCTGTTTCCACTCCAGTGCCCAAGTATGTGATCCGTGCATGCTGGGCTGGTAAACCCCAGATAGGAACTCCTGGGAGTTCTGGGTTCCTTAAAGGCACATCAAGGGGGGAGAGATGGGCAGGGGACGGCTCTTACTGAAGAAATGCGAGATCTGACCACCCTTAGACAAACCCACACATCTGTGCTCTGCCCACATGAAACTCTGCCTGTTCCAGACCCAGCCGTCCACTCAGTAAACACCCACTGGGCACCTTGCAAGTGCCAAGCGCCCTTCCTGAGACGTGACACAAGGCAGAACCCGCATGGAACAAAAACTTGAGGCTCATTCAGAAAAGCTTGTGGAAGAATGCAATCAAGCAGAAGTTCATTGCGGTGGAGAAACGTTTTGAAAACCACACATTGCTTTAAGGTAATGCACATTTTCCAGGAATTTCCAGAAGGTTCCCATGTGAGGTGGAACCACAGAGGACCCACAAAGTGGGCTTCTGTGCAGCAGGGTGCAGAGGGTCCCTACTCCGCACCCTGGGGGCATGCGGCAGGGACTGCCCGCAGCAGGGCAGCTGCGGGGCTCAGGGCTCAGGTACCGCTCTTGATTCTGGCTTCCTGTGAATGTCCCCACTGGGATGGCTGCATCCCTGCCACCTACTGGGACACCCAGCTGGAGCACCCAGACTCCTGGTTTTGGCCTGGCCCTGCCTTGGCTGTTGTAGGCATCTGAGAAAAGGCAGATAAAAGATTCTCTCCCTCCCCGCCTCCCACCCCACCCCAGTCTGCATTTCAAGTAAATCAAATCAAACTGCTTTTTAGAAAACGAATTCGTTTTGAGTTCAGAAGGATGCTCCAGGAGGACCATTCCTCGTGGCATCTGGATTCTCCAATCATGCAACAGCAGACCGCATGTCTGATGTCAGATGCAACTGGATTCTACACAGGCAAGCCCTGACCGCTTGCCCTCCTCCCGCTGTGGTTTCATTCTGCAAGTTCACACTGCATTAAGATCGCTATTCTTCCCTTACTTCTTTATCACAAAAGTGACACGGAAAGATTATTATAATTATGATATGTGTAAGTTGGTTGAATTAGATAGGAATTTTATTTCAGCATAGTAAAAGGTGAATTGCAAATTTGTCTTGCTAAGGGTGAAGGCTAGGGTCTCGTAAGCGTAAGAACCACCACACCCCAGAATTCCACCATCGCTAAGGGCAACTGCATTATGTGGTTTCCTCCCGGATTTACGGTAGGGTTGGCAGAACAGGGCAGGGGAACGGTGGGCGGTAGCTCTCAGCCGTGTTGGTGTGGTGGGGACCTCAGTGTGTAAGCACATTTGCTCAGATGGTGCTGACTCCCGGGTTGAGTTCTCGTTGTCACTGACAGTTGGAATCAGAGCGGCCCACAGCATTTTAGCTGCAGATTTCAATCCTCCTGAATGAGAACCCGGGGCTCTCTGAGGCTGCCACTTGGTCTCTTGCAAGTTTTGTGGCACCTGCCAGGTAGGAGATTCTCCCTGTTGCATTTTCAAATTGCTCAAAATTGCCCAAGCCATTCTCTGCTCAGAGTCTGTTTATCCAAGACAAGATGCCCCCAGGTGAGAAGCTGCTTGTTTTTAAATGTTTTGATGGTTTTGATTTGAGCAAATTTGCCCTAGCTCATGCTGGCCTGTAGGGTAGCAGAGTTCACCAGTAAGCCCAATGGGCCCAGGCGGGTGAGCTGCGACTGCTGACTCAGGCTGGTCAACACAAAGCTGCCCCACCTCCCCCCGCCCGGCAGGTTCACACACTCCCCAGTACACACTTAGCACAGTGCCGCCGCTCTTGGACGCTTTTGATTTTGGTGATATTACAGCGGCAAACACAGTGGGTCAGATATCTGTGAGAATTCACTTGCGTGTTCCTTGCACGATTCTGTCTCCCTCACAGCAGCAGGCTCGTGCGCCACACCCTCAGGGTGACAGAAGCAGGTGTGAGGGTGGTGAGCTTCGCGGTCACACACGGGGAGCAGGGAGGCCTGGCACGGCCCAGGCGCTTGTGAGCCACAGACAGGTGGGGAGCGGCCTGCAGGAGGGGGCAGGGAGTCGTCCTGGCCACTGCCACTGCTCAGGGAAGCAGCGCATCCCGCACAGGGACTCCAAGTCAGCAAGCTGGCCTCTCGGCCGCCCCCCATCTGACTTTCCCCCGCCTCTCCCTCCTTAGTTCCCCCTACAAAGCTCACCTGAGACACCCCTCACCCCAACACACACACATCATGCTCCTCTTCTCTGGGCACAGCCAGTTCCATCCACACTGAGCAATGGAGACATGGTCAGGCCAGCAGGGCTTGGGGTCTGGCCATGTGGCTGTCTGGCAGGTGGCTGTGCTGTCACTGATAGGGTGTCGGGCAAGTTACCTGAACCCTTTGGGACTTGGGGGCGGGGGGAGGGGGAGCACAGCCCGCACCTGCTCCATGGAGCTGCTGGGGTGATGGAAAGCAGGGGTGCCCCTGAAGGACTCGGTGCGCAGTGTGTAGACAGCCGGTGAATGGCGGAGGGCACATCCAGAGAGGTTAGTGCCCACGGTCGAGAAGGGTCACCGTGAGTTCACTCATGGCAGCTGCCGCCATGGCTCCCCTCGCTCTGCTTAGTCCCCCAGGGGACCCTGACTCACGGTCCTGTGTCGGAGCTGAGGGGAGGGTCTACCTTCTGGGGATGACACAGGATTTCCTGGATCCCTCTGCTTCAGATGCCCGCATCCTGTGTGGGTGCCAGTTCGATCCACACCCCATCCAGCCCCCTGCTATTGTGCCTGGGAAAGCAGGAGAGTTTGACCTAAGTCCTTAGGTCCCTGGACTCACATGGGAGACCAGAAGAAGCTCCTGGCTCCCTGCTCAGCTCTAGCCATTGTGGCCATTTGAGGAATAAATCAGTGGAAGAAAATTCTCTCTGTATCGCTCCTCTCTGTGTAACTCCGCCTTTCCAATAAAAATAAATAAATCTTGAAACAAAAATGACGACACTGAAGGTTCGGCTTGAAGAGCAATTGGATGAGTATTGTGACTTGCAGGTGTATCCATCTAATGTGGGAAGCATGAACTCAAGTAAAGCCAGAAGCCTGAACAATCACGTGTCTTCAGCTTTTGCCAAGTGGGTCTGGTGCAGTAGCCTAGCAAGCAAAGTCCTCGCCTTGCATGCCCAGAATCCCGTATGGATGCTGGTTCTAATCCCAGCTGTTCCACTTTCTATCCAGCTCCCTGCCTGTGCCCTGGGAAAGAAGTAGAGGATAGCCCAAAGCCTTGAGACCCTGCACCCATGTGGGAGACCTGGCTGAAGCCCCTGGCTTCAGATCAGCTCAGCTCCTGCCGTTGCTGCCACCTGGGGAGTGAACCAGCCGGTGGAAGATCTTTCTATCTCTCCTTCTCTCTGTAAAGCTGCCTTTCCAATAAAAATAAATAAATCTCTCTCTTTTTTTAAGTAAGACAATGCGAAAAGAGTACACGACAATACTCCCTTTGAATGGTCCTGTGCGGAGTTCACCGTCTCCCAGCTTGAAGCTCCCAGATCCCAGCTCTGTTACTTAGCCCAGTCCCCCCACAGCCCAACACATTCCTAAACTCTGCTTGATTTCTGCACCTGAGCCAGGCTGTCTGCAGGTTCTGGTCCTCCACGCAGAGCCCAGGCCCCGCATCCTTAGCTCAGTGTGTTGCGTGGCTGCAGCAGTGGCTGCCTTGCCAGAACTAGGGTTACTTGCTTCACCTCTGGGGGACATCAGCTACCTCCTGCACCCAACGGAGAAGAGCTCTCCCATGTTAGCAACTTGCTAGGGGAACCGAGTGGGTCATGGGACTCAGCCCCAGAGCGGGGACAGGGTGAGCCCACTTCGGCGATCCTTCCTCTGTCCCCGGCATGCTCTCCACACACGCCCAGGAGCAGGGACACTGAGCTCGGCCTGTGCCCGGAGGAGATGCAGGCAGCAGAGGGAAGTACTGCGACCAAGGCCAGGGGCCTCCCTCACCCGTGGGGTAGGTCCTAAGCCACTCCAGGAGATGCCCGACTCCTGCCCACGTCCACATCTTAAATACTGTCCATACACCTGTGATCAAGTGCAATGAGCACATCAGATGCCGTGAATGAGGCAGGATCATTCAGACAGCATGCAGTGACAAAAGCTCTGGAAAACCTAGGAGGAATGACTTACTTTCGAAATTTCCCGTTTCCTATTTCCAGCCCACAGTGGCCAGCTGGTCACTGAAATGGCAGAAAGCGAATGGGTCAGGGAGCGAGGACTGCGGACTTCCTGCATTCCTGCTTGGTCCCGATCTGGTCAGGCTGTGTCCCAGGGGAACGTCGGGCACCCAGACACGCATAGGGAACTGTGGTGCTTCCTGCATCTGCCCCACGACAACTTTACACATCTTCAGGACAAGAAGCAAACACACACCTGGCCCCGAGGAGAGTGAAACTAGCAAGATGCCACATTCAAGAAGGG